CTGTATGATATAGAATGTTAGCCTTTATGAAGAATTCTTGGGCCAGGAAATGTCTCAGTTGACGGAGTGCTCATTGTTACTGTGCAAGCACAGGACTGAAGTTTGATCTCCAGAACACATCAGAAGCCAGCATGATGTGTGTGTCCGGGAGTGCCATGTAAGAGTGAGAGACTTGCTGAAAAACAAGGTGGTGGCACCTGAGGAACAACATTTGAAATTGGCCTCTGGCCTTCAAATGCATGTGCACACAAGTATATGTGGCGTCCACCACACACAAATACATAGACACACATAGAGAATTCCTTATTCCTTTTGCAGGCTCTTTATAAATAGCTATATTTCTCAGCTTCCTAGTCATGGCAAGCATAAGCCTTAAAATACTTTCTAAATTCCTCTGCATCTAAAACAGTAACCACTTGAAGTTGGTCCTTGTTTTTAACATCACTTTGCCCTGAGATCGGTGATTGTGGTGTATGCACAGAACACTCCTTTAGTTAGAGTAGAAATGGACCTGTGGTCTGTTGACATTCCTTACCTGGAATTTTCTAGCAGTTTTATTAATAAATCACTATCTCACACACTTTCTCATGAGAATCTCACTTGGGTAAACAGCCCAAAGCAGACTTTTAGTCAAATTTATTTAAATTGATTATATTTTTTAGGAGTTGTAAACAGTAAAGCTATCTATCATAGGTTCTTACATAATTGCAGAAACAAATTTATTTTAGTGTTTTATTTTGATTACATGTTAGGAAAATCTTGATTAAATATAATGAATTATGAAAATTATTCCAAATTGAAAGGGGACCATTTTGTTTCTACGGGCTGCTGTCGATGCCTCATAGCTACTTGGATTACTTAGGATCGGCAGGTTATGTGGGAACACCCAGACTTTTATTCAGTGCTGAAATGAGACTAGCCAAGTAGGTGCCTTGGCCATACAGACGCTGTCAGAGATGTCAAGGCGCCCCATTGCCAGGAGGTACCATCTCAGGCAACCCAACAAACTACCTTCTGGCTTGTTAAAAAATTTTTTTGTTTGTTTGTTTGTTTTGTTTTGCTTTGTTTTTTGAGACAGGGTTTCTCTGTAGCTTTGGAGCCTGTCTTGGAACTAGCTCTTGTAGACCAGACTGACCTCAAACTCAGAGATCTGCCTGCCTCTGCCTCCTGAATTCTGGGATTAAATGTCTGCACCACCACTGCCCGGTGTGTGTATGAATTTTGTTTGTGTGGGAGACTTTTTGTTCTGCTTTGTTTTGTTTGGTTGGTTTTGGTTTTTCGAGACAGGGTTTTTCTGTAGCTTTAGAGCCTGTCCTGGAACTAGCTCTTCTAGACCAGGCTGACCTCAAACTCACAGAGATCTGCCTGCCTCTGCCTCCCGAGTGCTGGGATTAAAGGCGTGCGCCGCCACCACCACCCGGCTGGCTAGGTATATTTTATGACTTGCTTTTTTTCTTTCTTTTTTTTAATGTTTTGTTTTACTTTTATATATTAGGGTGGGGCATGCACTTGCTGTCATGCACTTGTGGAGGTCAGAGGCCAACTTGCAAGAGTCAGTTCTCTCTTTATGTGGACCTAAGCATCTTTACCCCAGCCATCATCATATTGGCTCTTACTTTTTTTTTTTTTTTTTTGATAAAGGAAATAGAGTATTTTTTTTTTTCCCCACATTTTAAAGTGCTGCAGTGCTAGGACAGTTTGAAAGACCCTGATAAGTAGATTACCCTTATTCTAAATAGCTCTCAAATGGCTACATAAAGTGTTACCCTGTGGACACTGTGTAAAGAGCACCGTCTCCAGTCAGGTCGGGTCTTATGGTATTGAACAGCAGCAAGGAACAGATGAAACAGTCTCATTCTTTATGCCTGTTCCTTCTAGGTGCGGTTTGCAGCCTTGATTACTGTCTTAGCAGTGGCTGAAAAGCTGAGAGAGAATTATATTGTTCTGCTTCCAGAGTCGATTCCTTTTCTAGCAGAATTGATGGAAGGTAAGTCTGAAGTTAATACACCAAGATGCAAAACCCTGTGGCCACAGGCTGACACAGATTTGTCTGAGTCCTCTACCCGCACCTGGGACACAAGTCAGGAAGCTGTGACCTCAGTCACTGAGCAGCCTGCAGTGTGTTTGCACTGCTCATGGGGGCCACAGTATTGTTCGGGCAATAACTTCAAATATTCATATGATTCAGTGTGCCATTAAGGGCATAATCAGTTGTCCTCTGGAATGATGAGCTGTACTTGGTGCTCTGTTTTGAGTGGTGACATAATCTTGCAGTGGGTTCAACACTGTCCCTCTTTTAAAAGAACCTAAGAAACTAGAATCTCAGAAAGTGTAAAGACGTTGATGAAAGCACTAGGTGGCAGGTGGAGCTGCTTTAAGCAGGAGTATACCTCTGCTTTGACATGGCTCTTAATCGTACCTCCCAGCGCCCTTCATATTGATTGGGGATGGTGAGGGAAGAGGTAACTTCGTATCTCACTGGCTCGGCATCTGGGCAGAAGCACACCCTTTTATGCCTGACGTCTAACACGGGCCGAGAGCTCCTGGAGCAGGGGTCCCTCTGGAGCTTGGATTTGAATGTGGCTTGGTCCTCTTCAGCAGCCAAGAACATGAACATGCCTAAGAGTGGGGGGTCAGTGAGGGAGCAGCTTGGGTCACAACCTGCTGAGTGCCTCCTGTGCACTGAGGGACAGTTGGGCAGGATGGCTGGCAGGCCCACTCTAACCCTGGTGTTGTTTGTTAGATGAATGTGAAGAAGTGGAGCGTCAGTGCCAGAAGACGGTCCAGCAGCTGGAGACCTTGCTGGGGGAGCCGCTGCAGAGCTACTTCTGAAGTGGGACGCTCACCGCTGCCTCGTGCTCACTGATTTGGTCTCATGGTTTTGGAGGGATGTGGTGCCATATTATTTTTGGTACTTTTACATCTCCCAATATTTAATGTTTTTACAAAATCCCTGCCTGTCTGGGCTCCCACAGAAGCCTCTCCTGCCTTTTGTACAGATTTGCTAAGGAGTAAATAGAGTGGTGTTTTATACAAACTGTCTGCTATTCGTCTTCATCCTAGTTGGTGTTCTGGATGAGGCCAGCATGTTCAGTTTCAGGACCCGAGGTCTAGTGCTTCCCTAGGATCTTGCTGCTCCCTGCAGCACCTTGTCTGTGGTGTACATTTTGTAAGTCCTAACACTTATCGTAGTGGCCTGGGTCAAGGAACGGCATCACGCAGCAGCATTCAACAAGGAAAGTTCCTGGTGACAGCCACTTGGGGTAGACTGACAGCTGGAGCCGCTCTGCCGTGCAGTCTGACAGGGCTGTGCCTGTCTCCACTGTTCACCTTCCTTGTGAGGAAACAAAATACACTATTTGGGACCCAGCCCCCAGCTGACTGACAGCTGACAGGACAGCGGTGCTAGTGATGGCATTGTTACCGTGAGGCTGGAAATGAGAGTGCTGATAGAGATACATCAGTTTGCCTTCAGTACCTACAGCACGGAAGAAGTACTCCATAGAGTATCCTAATTTAATACAAAATTTTAATGCGGAATTATGGTTAGCAAAAAGGCCATTTTGTACTTTAGAGATAAAAGTTAGAAATATACAATGACACATCTCACAACTTAAATTCCAGCAGCTTTTTTTAAAAGACCGGATTCTAAGAATTAAGACTGATTCTACTCAAAATTATTCTTAGTAGGTTTGCATAAAACAGAAATGAAAATAAGCTTTTTCTATGGATGCGTTTTATTTTTCCCGATGCCTTTCAGTCCCCAACATCACAGCAGTCATGCCTTCTTTATGAAGAAGTAACACTGGGGATTCTAGAGCCTCCTGGGCTCCAACAGATTGCCCCGCTCCACCCACCACCCCAGTAGCTTAAGTCTTTCAGGAGCCAGCACAATAGTTTACATGAAAAGAATGAAGGGCTGCAGCTGCTGCACTGCAGCTAAAAAGTAAGAAATGCTGGTGGTGTTATGTCCATGTATGAATACATATATCTGGGCAAATTGGCTGTCAGTACTCCAGCCCTGGTAGAATTTTACCCTGTGGTTTAATAATAAAATGACCTGATGAATTAGCTCTCCCCCTCCCCACACCAAACCTTTGAAATCCAGACCAAGATTGGAGCTGTAAAGACCTCACCTAGAGCTTCCCCCAGCTCGGTTACACAGAAGTTACAGGAGTGCCGCAGCAGAGCTTGCTGATGCAAGCTGCCACCTAGCAAGCAGACATGTGGAAGGGTTGGTTTACATGGCAACGCAACTTTCTTACATTACCCTCCTATGTAGGCTTTGCTTCAATGGTTCTGCACATTCACCAAGTCTCATCTCAATGTGAGTTACGCAAGGTTTTGCAAAGTGCATTTATTCATTCTCTTCCGCACCTTGCCACAGGCACAGAGAGACTTGAGTGCAAATAAGCAGAAGTCTACTTGGAGCAGAACACTTGTTCTAATTCAGGTTTTTTTGCCTCAGTTTTTCTGCTATGTTCAGCATCATATTATTTTTTAAAGCTTAAAGTGAGAGCTAAATAAGTGTTATACTTCTGAGATATGATAGGATGTTGATTATGAAAAGGATCACTGGGGAAGTAATGTTTCCATCCATTAGTATATTGTTCTGACTTTAACTACAGACGCCCCCTAATGGGATTAATGCACTGTTAGCAGGAAAGCCCTACAGTGGGAGATCATGGGCAAGTGAGTGCCAGAAAACAGGAACCACACTGGTTCTGGGTACCACCGGATCTATGTCCAGCTCAGAATATATACAGAAAATATGCCTTCTATCCCTATTAATTAGTTTATTAGAGTAGGCACTTGAATATTTGTTGAGTGTGGTTTTGCAAGAGGAGGCCGTGTGTGTGTGCAGAACCTCACTGGCGTAAGCTGGGATCACCCCAGATTTGTTCCCCGAAGACAGAGATAGCCACACTGCATGTTCTCAGGCCAGGCCTGAGAACACCAGGTGGAATCTGATGCTGTATGAGCTCAAACAACACAAACAATGTGGTGAAAACAAGATGCATTTGTCATGGCCAGTAGCCCATTAGCCATTTTGTATTTTAGGGATTTTGGCAGTCACGGTAGCTACCAGCTCCTTACATCCAGCAAATGGATATCTCCATCAACTGCTAGCGTGTCAATACTGCTTAGCTCTTTAACTCTGTGTTTGTACTCCAGGTTGTGCACACCGTTTATCGCAACCTTGAAATCTCGGACGTCACAGTAAATTATCATCTGAAAAGAAAAGAGACCGTACCTTCAGTGGCTGCCCTTCATTTTAAAATTTGTTTCTTTTATACTAACAGAGGGTCGAAAGGGAAGCCATTTGGCTTGTTTTGAGCTTGGAGACATTTTCCCAGCCTTCTACCACTGACTTCCCTTCTGAGTGATTTCAAAGGCAATCCAAATCCCCAATGTGCCATGTGGCATCTGCTTCAGCACAGTGTCTCACCAGGTCCTCAGGAGTCCTCACCCATTCTGCTCCTGGCTCTTAGAAGCTGGGAAGCGTCTCTCGTGGTATTTGGGGATTAAGAGAAAGGTGTTGATTGCTGCCCTGCACCCCCTTCTCAGAGAAGCTGAACCTTGGAACCTCAATGTTAGGGTCTTGGCCATGTCAACTGATGAGGTTCCAACAGCTTGGGACACTTGGTAAGGAGAGCAGTTACTCAGTAATCAAACTTTGTCCTTGCTCAGAACATATTGGCCCCTCTACCTGTTTCCAAAAAGCTTGTCGGGATCAACTTCCCAGGCTCTGTGCAGTTATTGGCATCCTGGCAGACGCATCACCATTTCCCACCCTTCTAATAGTAACCCTAGCATCCAGAGCCAGTATCCTGCAACACCACCTAAACACCTAAGCCTGCATTTTGCTGCCAAACTCTTAAGGCCAGTAAGATCACTGACTGTACCAAGTGACCATTCACCGAAAAGGCCATTTTGTTGACCCTGCACTGTGCTCTTTGCTACAGTGAAGACTTGAGAAGATGGCATAGCCTGGGTTGGGCCTGCCCCATTCCCAGAGATCAGCCTAGAGCATCAAACTTGAAAATGCAAAGAACTCATTAAGGTTCTATTCTTTAGACATTAGCAATGGAAAAAGCTTTCACAGGAAGTCAGAATAAGGTGGAAGTGAACACATAACATAACTGACTTAAAACCAAAAATTCTACAGAGAACTGGGGAACTATCTATTAACTGAGAGTCTCCCCAAGAATGGGGGAAATCTCAAAATCATACAGGAAAAAGAGAGTGGAGAAGCCAGATGCAATCCTAGCAAGTTCCCTTGGGAACTTGACGAATAAGTGCAAGAGCAACAAGTGGAAACACTGCAGCTAGACAAAAACAGGAAGGCACATGACCCGCAGAGTGCATCTGCCTAGAAGAGAAGGAAGTCCTCCGCCTCCAGAACAGCTGGAAAACAGTGTTCTGGCCCTGATTCTGACTGCTCTGGACTTATCCTAGTGTCATCCAGGATAGTAAAGCTGATGCTTTGTGAGCTCCACTTGATGCAGTGACGGACGTTTTGACATAGCCAGTGTCACATAAGCAGTTTTGTATTTGAACAGTATTCCAGTGCAATACAATATTGAATGAGATTTTAAGGCCGAGCTAGGGGTGGTGGCTTAGTGACTCGTGCTTGCCTGTGAGGCCCAGCGCACCTATTCTTAGAAAGAGGGGCTGGAGGGATGGCTCAGTGGACAAGAGACCTTGCTGTTGAAGCGAGTGTGAGGACCTGAGTTTGGATCCTGCCACCCAAGAAAAAAGCTGGGCCACCCAAGCACCTGTAACCTATGGCAGGTGAGGAGGGTGTGCTTACAGGATCGCCGGGGCTTGCTGGCTGCCAGCTTAGCTCCAGGTTCAGTGAGAACCCCTGTCTCAAAGAATAAAGCATTGAATGGCAGAGCAGGCCTAGTACACACATGTCTGTCCCTCTCTCTCTCTCTCTCTCTCTCTCTCTCACACACACACACACACACACACACACAGGATCAGAGTAAGTGAACTTGAAGTGCAAGGTCCTGTGTAATTGAAAGGAGCGGCAAAGTGGGGAGATCTGCAAGAACCTCGGGGAAGCACACTGAAAAGTCACAAGTTTGATACGAGGAGCCTGCTAGCGTGGGAGGCCAACAGCAGCACGGGGTAATCACTGCTGCAGCATGAGCGCTCAGCAGGGAAGCGAGTCCAAGTGCTGCGGAGTACAGATGTGCAGTATGCCCACCTGTCTCCCTGTCCCCTCAGCCAAGCTCTGCCCACAGATAAATGTCTGGAATGGGCGCCATCTAATTTTTCTTTTTTTAGGTTTATGTTAGTTTTAATTATTTGTATGTGGGGTATGTGCACGAGTGCGGGTGCCCTCCGTGGTTGGGGGTATTCAGTCCTGGAGAGCAGAGTCACATAACTGTGAAGCACCCAATGCGGGTGCTGACTGGAAACAATCAGGGCCTCTGCAAGAGCAGCACACACCTAACCACTGAGCCATCTCCAGCCCCTGCTTCATCTACTCTAAATTCTGAGTCAAATTGGAGGTAAATATTTTAATTTTCATTTTTCTGTTTTTCAGCATTATTTCAGTTTTGTTACCTTTTTATTTCAGTGTCCTCAGTTGGCACCAAGCTATACAACTGTTCTCTCAGCCACAAGGACCAGCTTCCTTCTAGAGGTACCAGTGTCTCCCTCCTGTGTACCCTAGGTCACCCCATATACCCTGGCCCCTGCCAACCACAAACCCTGAGCCACACCTCCCACTTCTAGTGACTCCTTCAAAGTGCCCTAAACCTGGCCTTCCAGATCTTGCTCAGTCTTCTGGATTCACAGTCAATACCCACACCTTCAAGGAACCTTGAAGTCCATATCTGCCTACCCTCCAAGCACTAGGGTGCTTCCTTATCCTGTAACTTGGATTTAATGTGACTGTTAAGTTGCCATATTCTGGTCAGCTTGGCATTCATACTTTAACAACCAGCTGGATGAATCCCTGAGAACTTCAATAGTTTAATCATGTGAGTTAAAAATGTGCAGCCTGACCTAAACTAATGATCCTGAGAGACCATGAGAGGCATCACCTAAGCCAGTGAGAAAGCTAAGCCAGCCAGCTAGCATCTATATCCCAAGGATGTAGCACCCCAGAAAAAAAAGCACCCCAGAAAAGGTGGCTTTGGGAAAAGCCATGTATTAACATAAAAATACTGGGGCCTAGAAACTGCATTGCTCTCTGGGTCCAAGGGTCTTGTGTACTAGTCCTTAGCCACCTACCTACAGGACCAGCTCCTAAGAAGAAATACTGCCAGCATCTGGAACTGTGGAGGCCGTGGGCAATGCAAACATGCACTTTTAGGGTTCCCACGTATATCTACTTACAAGTGCAGATGTGGAGCTGGGGAGATGATTCAGTAGGTAAAGTGCCTTACACAGGACTTGAGTTAAACTCTGGATGTGGTGGCAAGTATCTTATTCCTGGTGCTGGGGTGCAGAGGTGTAGAGCCTAAGGCTTGGGGACTAACCTAGTCAACTGGTGAGCTCCAGGCTCAGTAAGAGATGTGTGTCAAAAAATAGGGAGAGCTACAGAAAGACACCTAACATCAACCTAACAGCACACACACACACACACACACACACACACACACACTCATGCTAAAGAGTAACTTGTGCCAAGGAGTATATCTAGTTCCAGTCCTGAGACAAAGTTCTTGCCAGAATTCCTTGGGGTTACAGATATTGTCAATATGACAAAATAGCAAGTATTCTGGGATGTCAATTATACCGGCCCTGCTGTTCACACCAACAGCCTCCACAGTCAGTGAACAGCAGCACACAATCCCGACATGGAGGTTGGATTTGATTTAAATAAAAGTTATTTTACTGTGTTCTCAGGATTCTTTTTTTCCTGTCCTATTTCAAAACAAAACAAAAACCATAATCTTACCTCAAAGTACATTCCAGGACTAAATGGGAAGCAGGTAATATTTCTCTCCTCTTCTCCCCAGGCATCCTGAAGAAAGGAATTTCTTACAAATGCTTTCACGTTCAGGCGTGGGTTCAAGTGCAAAGCGATATCCCTTGATTTTCCTGCCACTAGGTCGACGTTAAAGCTGTAAAAGAAAGGAAAAAAAGCTTAGACTTGAACTACAGTACTAACTACAGATCATGCATGGGAGCGTGGGGAGGGGCTTCCAGCTCTGAATTTACATGCACTGACTTGTTTGCAACATGAGATTAGAATCTGTGCTGAAGCTGAGGTCTGACCGAGCAACAGCTAGGGATTCAGAACAAGTGAACCCCATGAGTACTTCAGGCTGCAGGACTCAGGGCTCCTCAAGGCAGGCACTCACCAATCAGTTCCACATGTTCCCCTTTTGAAAGTAAGCTACTTTAATAAACAGATTCCTTTCAAAAGCGCTCAAGAAGATGAACACCTTGGGGAAAGGGGAGTGTAGCACGAATTCTAATTGTTCTTAATAAAAACCTGGAGTCAGATATTAGGGGGTGAAAGTTGAGAGATCAGAGAAGCAGAGCAGCCAGCCACTAGAGACCTTTTACTTCTACCTGTACTCAGATCAAAAGGGTGATCCTGAACTCAGACTGCTTCCTTAGACTGTGTCCTCAGACTGCCTGCTGCTCCAGAATGCACCTCAGACTGCACTGAGCCTGTCTCCTCCTACCTTACATTCCTCTCTCTGCCCAGCTAATATCACTTCCTGTGTCCACCTCCCTTGCTGGGATTAAAGGTGTGAGCGGTCACCACCTGGATTCTAGTGGCTTAGTTCTGCATTCTGATCTTCAGGCAAGTTTTATTTGTTAAAACACAAAATATCATTACAGGGGAGTGTGTGTGTGTGTGTGTGTGTGTGTGTGTGTGATACATGGGGGCAGGTGTGAACACAGAAGCCAGAGGTTGACATTGGGTATCTTCCAGTATTGCTTTCTAACTCACTCATTTTTAAAGATTCATTTTACTATTTTTAATTATGCATACGTGCATAGCTATGTGCATGTAAGTGCAGGTGCCTGTGGAGACCAGAGGGGGCACCAGATCCCCTGGAGCAGGAGTTAGTGCAGGTTGTGAGCTGCTTGACATTGGTGCTGAAAACTGACCTCTGCAAAAGCAGCACGCTTTTAATCACAGCCATCCCTCTAGTCCTTCTACCTTAATTTTCTGAGACAGGGTTTCCCCTGGGATACTCCTGTCTTCTTCCTAATGTGGGGGTTATAGGTACATGCTAGTACACTCAGCTTTTTCACAGGGGTGCTAGTATAACCCACACTTTACCTCTGAGCCATCTCCCTAGCCCTGCCCCTATAATCAATCTATCTATCTATCTATCTATCTATCTATCTATCTATCTATCTATCTATCTATCATCTATCTATCATCTATCTATCTATCTATCTATCTATCTATCTATCTATCTATCTATTTATTTGAGACAGTCTCACTGTGTATTCTCCTGGCTGCCCTCTGCCTCTACATGCTGGGATTAGGCCTGCACTACCATGCCCAGCCCAGAAAAGATTCTTAAAGCAGTGTGTTCTGTATCACAGAAGGGGAACCTCATCTGGTTTGACCTGGTGTGACTGGCCTGGCAGAAAGGAAGGAGCTGTAAAGAGGAACTTATGTCCCTCATCTGTCAGATTGTAGAAACAATGGACCCCAGGAAAGGGGAATTTCCCAGGAGTCTCATGCTAGGAGAAGGAAATAAATAGCACCAATCAAAGTGGGAATTCACTGCCTGGAAAAACATTTGCACCACCTGAAGCCCAGACAAGAATGGGCCATGGTGCTGGGACCACTCCTTGACTGGGACCTTGACCCTCTAATTCACTTTAATCTTGCCGCAGGACCCTGCAAATGCACATTAGGGGTCCCTGGAACTCTGCCTCACTTCCCCATGTGGCCATACTGAATCTTTTACTTTCCACAATTAATTTGGCTGTTTTCATTGACTACTTGAAGTGGAGAGCTGAATTTGGCTTCTTAGGGTTATGAACTGTGACTCCAAGTCTCGTACACTGAGGCTATCCTACACAAGAAGAGCCTCATGAACAAAAATGTCACCTACCTGGCCAAAAGAGCCCCAGCCTGAACCTGTCCTTAGTCCTGACTCTGCCGATAGCTCTTTAGCAGGACCTTGCACTGTGTCTCTCCTTTCAGGAAAGCAGCAGCAGCTCCTCCCACAGACCAAGTCCTAAGGCACCGGGAAGGCAGCAATACTGACCCTTTGGCATTTGTATTCACTTCTCCTTTAATGACAACGGTTCGTCCAGGGCCCATGGAGGCGTTTAACCTTGCTTCAAATGGCAGGCTCTGAAAAAGGGCCACAGTCAGAAAGAGGCAGAAAGAGTCAGAAAGAGTCCTTCTGGCAAGGACCTTGTGGGGAAGTTGCCAACAATATGAAGGCAGGGTTGAGTCTGTGACCCCCAGGAGGGCGCAAACCTTGGCTTTTATCTCAGGTGCCATGCAAATCGGGGCCTGGCTCACATGACACACTCAGTGATTGTTTTACCCTACAAAGCAGGGTCAGCACCATGGGTGGCACCTGACACCTTCTGCATGAGACCCGACTGCCTGTCAGGTATCAATGCGTGGGGCCTACAGTCAGTCTGTCTCTGGGATCAGCAGCCCACATGAGTGGTCCAGATACATGCCTGAGGCTGTACTGTCCAGGGAAAGTACAATGCCGGGGGCTGCCTTGGACTTTGCTGGGAGTGGAGGATACGAGTGACAGTTTGGTGGAGACATTTCTGGGTATGATTTTTAAAATGTCTCCTCTGTTACCAGGTTACAGGAACCGTTCTGCAATTCAGTGTGGCAAGAATGCAGCTGCCTTCAGGGTCCAGCTGTTCCTGTTCTGAGTCAGTTATAAAATGTCCCACATGGAACCACCAAGCAAAAGTACTCACCAACTGTGTCTTGCCGGACTTCCGGACCTGGTGGAAGAGAAAGGAGAGTGAGAACAGCCTCCCGGGCAGACAGGTGTGCAGTGAGCGGCCTGCTGTGCTTCATGCATCAGCTGCCTTGGTGTGGCACAGGCACTGAGTTTCATGACGGGCATCGTAGAGCTTATGAAGAGTCGTGCATCCTTCCTTATGTGAATACGTTACTGTCCATAAGTTAATGGTTGTTCAACTTTCACAAGTGAACTTCAAACATATCTTATCTATCCTTCCCAAGAACCCTCCAAATACTGACATGCTGTTCCACTTGTAAGCACTGATGTGCAGAGGGGTAAGGCCTTGCTTTCTTCAGAACAGCAAAGTGTCAATTTTAAAACTGCTCTTGCTGCCGCAGAGGAGCAGAGAGTTTATCCGCAGTGCCAACTGGTGTTCGGTATTTACAAATGCTTCATTCCGATACTTCTTAAGAAGCAGGGTGACAGAGTGCTTTTTACATGACCAATGGTGGCTATTTAAACTGATAAGTTACATGTCAACCAAAAATACAGTGCCCAAGATCATAAAACAGTGCGCCCCTTGGTTCTTAAATGACTGCTTCTGTCCTGGCCTCACATTAAAAGCTTAACTTGGGAAGCTGGGGAGACAGCTCAGTTGGTAAGGTGCTTGCTGTGCACCCATTTAAAAGCCCGGCATGAGAGTTGCACGTTTGTAACCCCAGCGCTGGACAGACAGAGAAAGGAGGATCCCCAGGGTGAGCTGACAAGCCAGCCTAGCCAGTAGGGAAGTCCTGGGCTCAGGGAGAGATCCTGTCTCAAAATAAGATGAATGAGTTCGGGAAATGGCCCAGAGGCTAAGGCAATTTCAGGACAAGCATGAGGACTGGAGTTCAAATCCTCAGTACCCATGTAAATGCTGGGCCAACATAGGGGCCTGTCTGCAATCCTAGCACAAGACAAGATCTCTAGAGCAAGCTGGCTACTTAGCCTAACTGAACTGGCAAGCCCTGGGTTCAACAAGGAGACTCTGCCTCAAAAGACTGAGAGCAATCAAGAAAGACATCCAATATCTATGTCTAGCTTTCACACACATGTCAATGCACATGTCAACATGCATACACATGCACATACTGCATACATATACATGCAAAAGTTATTTTAAAAAATGTAGAACAATTGATAAATGACATCCAGAGTTGACCTCTGGCCTCCACATACATGCACACATGTACCTGTACACACAAGTAAATAGAGAAAACTCCATACTTTAAAAAAAAAAGCCTTCCTTGCACTGATGGTAACTAAGAACATTTTTAAACTGCTGGTTCATAGAGAGAATATTTACATTTTCTCTACTTATCTGTGTCAGTCCCAGAGCAGATGTTTCCATACTCTGTAAACCCTGCAAAAAGATCACAGATTAGCTTTAACATGCACCAGAATCTTTTAAAAAATACTGAACATAAGCAAAAAAATATCAGTGATACAGAACATGGAAAATTACTGAGGATTATGATTTCAAAAATGCAACTGAACACTGGGGGGGGGGGGTCCGCCCCAAACTGGCGAGTCTGAGAACAAGATCTGATGTCAGTAGGATCCTGAGCACACGAGCAGCCGGGCACAGCTGCTGAGAGGACCAACAGTAGTCGGTACTGTCCTTGGGAACAAGCTGTCAGTGTCCAAGAAACTTAAATTCCAACACTTAGAAAACTGTCTTACAGAAATGTTTATTTGCTCCCATGGACAGGAAACACACACCGACCAGATAAAAAGGTATTCATTCACTTTGCAGGCTCACTCTAGATGTGAGGTCCCACAAACAGCAAAAGCCTGGTTACTGAGCAGGACCCGACTAGTCTTGAAATATTTATACTATGTTTATCTAAATGGAAGATGTAAAGTAAAGAAAACTCCTACTATTCGGCCACACTGCCCCAAGAGACCCCCAGGTATGTGAGGAGGGCACCTACCGAGCTGAAGCTGAAACCGATGGAATGGATATTCACTTTGCCGTAGATGCCCAGCGTGTCTATCTTCTCCGGGCTGATCCTGTGGGCATACAGCAGGGTGTGCTTCCCATTGACAGCCACCTGGGTGGACACAGAAGACAGTGGCCTCGGAGCACGTTAATGAACTCACTCCTTATAACTATCTCCTTACAGGACAACACCTGCCCCAGGCTTCATCTCCAACACCACGAAAATAAGTGAATGAATGAAATGCCTTCTTAGGTTTATTTTCCCACAGATCTCTGCTCACACTGTGGCTAGCAGGAATCCTGAACTCTGAGTCTTGTGTAATTAAGCGTCTGGGTCACCTCTCCAGGCAGATTCATACATTTGGAAATATGTGTACTCCACATGTGTCTGTGTGTGCTCAAGAGATGGCTATGCTCAGGGCCCCAAGGGTCACACATGATGCCTGAAAGCCTGGGAGGCAGGTTAGCTCTGCCTGATTGCTGCCCCAATCCTCTCTAAGGACCACACTCTGCCAGAGCCCACCTATATGGGAGGCACAGGTATGCACTGACTTCACTAAATGAAAGTCCACACCAGCTGGGAGCTGGGCGGTGGTGGCACAGCCGTTAATCCCAGCACTCGGGAGGCAGAGGCAGGCGAATCTCTGTGAGTTCGAGGCCAGCCTGATCTACAGAGCTAGTTCCAAGACAGGCTCCAAAGGTACAGAGAAACCCTGTCTCAAAAAACCAAAGGGGAAAAAAGCACTTCTCTGAGATTTCTTATCTCTAAGTTGTATAAAGTAGAAACCTCACTCAATGGTTAAAGTTGTATGGGATGATTAAGTGCCATCTGAGAGTCCTCCACACAGTGCCTCCAAATGCCAGGCGGTGTGTGAGCCCAGGAGGGAGACATAAGCAGCCCACAGAAGGGTCCCCAGCAGGGCCTCTCAAGCAGCTTTAAAATGCCACTTATAACAAGCCCAGGGCAATGTAGTGGGTACAGCTCTACTGCCCAAGACTAAGGGGGGAACAAAAAACTGAGGAGCGCTGGGGGCCCTAGAGAGCAATGACCCACAAAGGATCTCGACGGTAGGCACACTCCTGGAGCAGGAGGACCTCTGACTTACAAGCCCTCTAGATGGTCTGAGGGCTGGCACTCAGGAGCCTCTGGAGACAAACTGCAACCCAGGAAGTCAGTTGCTGTGTTCACAAGGCCCCCAGGGCCCTATAGCAGTATCTGGCTGTGAGACTGGACCTGCCCCTTTGGGGTGCACCCTGGTCACCCACAGTCTGTTCATGTTGATTTTCCCACAGTTTAGGTAGGGGGTTTTATAATCCACTCTCCTAATGATGCCACGATGCTGGGTCAATTCAGAACTTAATCCTCCTAAGATTAAGGAGTATCTGTTCTGGACCTGTGTTTCCATCTGGACAGAGAATGATGGATCTACTGCCTCCAGGAGCCTCAGAGATGCCCCAAGCTTGCTCACTCGCACACTCCCCTTCTCTCCCAGAACCTACCTGGAATTTGTTCTTTAGTACCATGATCACGATTTCAAAGGATTTCTCTTTTCTAAAGGGCATGTCATAGGTGATCTCCTCCCAGCCCCATTTCTCATTTGTCAGCGTGTTACAGACAATGCAGTTGGACCTTTTGAAGCGAGGGTTAAAGTGGAAGGCCACGTCAGCCCTCGGCTTCAGGCTGTTGCCGAGCTGCAAGTCCACCTGGAATCTGGGCAAGGGCAGAGCAGAACCACATGAGTCTGTAAAGATGAGCCATGGGGAAAATGTAAACAACCCCCCGACACACACCCCTTCCTCATCCACAGCAGCTGCAGGGCAGCCTGCCTATTCTCCGTTCCTCCTTCCCACAGTCTGAGCTGAGCTGTATGGACCCAGAATAACAGCTTTCCTTTCCTGACCGCCCTGGATCCTGGCCTCTCTGTGTGGGCACAGTCTGCTGACGAACAGAAGGCAAATTCTAGGAGACTCCTGGTCTGGAGTCTACACAGACTGGGCAGCACCCAGTCTTCATCTGCTCCTGCTCCACACCCCACCCCTGCTCCATGCCCCACCCCCTGCTCCATGCCCCCACCCCTGCTCCACATATACCCTCCAGCCTTTCAAAGCAGGAAAGTGAAGGTGCGCTTTTTAGCTGAGGATCCCGATTAAGAGGCCTGCCCCCAGGGGTACTCAAGTCACAAGCTGATGGGTAGAACTAACTGCAAAGCGCAGGGGTCTCTGTGAGGTAATTCCCACACATTAAATCAGTGACGTCAGCCACTCAGAGCTCAACTCTGACAGGGCCTGCGATGGTTACTCTTCCTTGTCTACCTCACTGCATTTCGGGTCACCAAGGACACACCCCTTGGTGTGTCTGTGAGAGCACCTGAGAGTGTGTGACTGAGGGAAGACCCATCCTGAGCACAGACAGCACCACCCATAGACTAGAGTCCCTGACGAATACAGAAGAAAAACGGGGACAGTGAGCTGAGCCCCAGCCATTCGTCCTCCTCGCCTTCCTGTCTAGATGCCGCAGATCCTCCCCCAGAGTAGAACTGCTCTTATCCCCGTCGGATGGGCTGCACCCTCAAATCATGAGCTAAAATGAGCCTTTCTTCCTTTCATTGCTTTTCTCAGTAATAAGAAAAGGAACCACACATCCTGAGTTTATACCCAAAGCAGACACTCAGCAAAACCACGAAGACTTCCTGTTATCCAACAACCCCCACTTTCTATCAGTGTATCTGTTTATATTGAAACCGGACTTACAGCAATGATATAAAAAAATTCCAGTAACCAGTTAGACATGGTGGCGCATGCCTTTAATCCCAGCAGGCAGGAGGCAGGGGCAGGCGGATCTCTGTGAGTCTGAGGACAGCCTTGTTTTCAGGACAGCCAAGGCTGTGTAGAGACCATGTCTCAAAACAAAACAAACAAAACACTCCGGTCGCCTTTGCCTTTACCCCACTACTCATCCTCCTCACAGCTCAGAGCTGCTAGGGGACCAGCAGGCCTCTACACCGCCCCTGGGAGACATCCACAGGACACCACCATCTTACCTGTCCACATCATTAGGAATATGCCCACGGATTACAATCAAAGAGCCAGGCTTCAGCTGCTCAGAAATGGTGCCAACATAGGGGACTGTCTAAGGGAAAGAAATTTTACAAATGTATTTTCACAATCAAATTCAGTTACAAGGCAATTATAGCCAAACTCTGTGACTAATGGAGGCTGGGTGGCAGACAGTCTTGAGCTTCTGACTCCCCTGCCTCCCAGCCTCCCAAGTCCTGACTCCAGGCAGTAACCATGCTCAGCTCACATTTAGATCCTAAAGTGTGAACAGAGATGGTGAATAAGGTTCTATAGCGGATTAAGAAATGAGTATGAGACAGAAACACTGGCCCCTGACTGGCGTCTACACTTGGGTCTCTAAGAAGACCTTTATGGCCCTAAACAACACGATGACACCTGTAGCTTTCCATCTAGGTGTCTGGAGTGCTCCTGTGTGTGAGGCAGACAGTGCCTGTGTGAGCACTCTAAGTCTTCAGCGTCTCCCCCACAGACAACTCCACATGGCTATCACACTGTGGAGGATCTAACAGGCCTGGGAGCATGTGCTGCCTCTGACCCTGAGCCTCTTGGCCTGGCAGAGCTGCTCCCTGCCCTGTGGCTGCAGCAACTCAACAGCTATGCTTATAAAGCCTGTGCTGGTGACTCCGCACAGTGGGGTATAGCCTTAGCCACCTGGGTTCCGAAAGGAGCCAGTCTCAGCTCCAGCTGCGGCTGCTGTGGATGAGTGGTTTATGAATGAAGAGTACCAGCTGAGCCAGACTTACATCTACTAACTCCTTGGCCAGCTGGAAATCAAGCGTGCCTTCAGCTCTCTACAAGCCGGGCGTGGCGGCTCAACTTGCAGTCTCAGCTCTTGGGAAGCTGAGGCAAAAAGATTGATGTATGTTGCAGATAGCCTGGGCTACAAAGTGAGACGCCTGCTCTCCTCTCACAAAACAAAAGCAAGAGTGTCAAGAACCACCACAGATGCTCTGGGAAGATGATGGAGCGCCCACAGACTCCACATGACAGCTTTTCTAGTATAGAAAGAAGACACCTGCCAAATTACTCAATTTGAATGGAGAGGAGTGAGCCTGGCTTTTATTTCTTCGAATTCTTTCAGTGAAACTAATGAAAGGAATATACCAAGTAGGAAAAAGGACATCACCAGTTACAAAGTGTACTTCGTCTTTTCCAAGAAGTGTTTTAACATGGACGAGCTTGTACCAGTCTGGACCAAGAATGCTAAAACATCCGTGAGGTCAAAATGAAAAGGTAACAGTTCCTGTCTTGATCACACCGAGTACAGAAAAAAGATCACACGCACATATACACTCACAAACACATACAGTCATCACACACACGTGTGTGTGTGTGTATACCTGCACTCTCTCATACACATGCATATACACTCACAAATGCATAATCACCACATACATATACACACATGCACTCTCTTATACACATGCATACACATGCTCACATATGCACACACTAACACACACAGAGAAACCTAGTCTTGTTTCTTTCCAGTCCACAACCTTGAGGTATTTTTAACTACAACATACACAAAGTCACTATAAACATCTTCACTGCTGTCAAATTTTATAAATCTTCCCTTTTAACCCTTTGCCACATAAGGCTATTTCTCCCAAAAACTCAGTTTGTTTGACATGGTGTTAAACCTTTCTTTCACTATGACACTATTGAGGTTAGGGAGAACAATTACAGCTGCCGTGTCCTCAGCACAAACACGCAACTGACTCAGCACCTTACTTCCGTGACTTCTGCCATTTCTACTCCCCAAGAGTCTCCCTGTGGGTCACCACACCAGCGGCCTGATGTCAGGCCTCTATTCACACTGCGGTGGTAAGAGGAAAGAAAGCAAGCATAGAAAACCAAATCAGGCTCTTCACGAGTTTCCAGAAGGGCCAGGATGTTGAGTGCATTTTCCAGCAATTAGTCAGGAACTCATAACAGCAGTCAGAATGGGACGGCATGCTTTGCGGGGGCCTCTTACCACTGGCTAGCAGTGTTGAAAAACACAGGGGAAGCCTGAGACTAACTTCTTGTGGACAGTTCTCATTTCAAAAAGGCTACAAAAAGCCAGGTGTGGTAGGACACACCAGTCTACAGTCCCAGTACTGGGGCTGAGGCAGGAAGATTTCAAGTTCATGAAGTCAGACTAGCAGCAATGCCTTATCTCAAAACAAACGAATGGATGAACAATGAATGAACCATGAAGGGATAGAGATGCAGCTTAGTGGTAGACTATACCTAAATCATGAAGCAATAGGTTCTATCCTCCATATGATAGATGACAGACAGACAGACAGACAGAGATGGGAAGGAAAGAAGGAATGAGCAAGCCAGTAAGCTAGCTCAGCAGTAAAGGTTCCTGCTGCTGAATCTGACCACCTGAGTTCAACTTTGGAACCCAAATGGTCGGATAGAAGAATTTTCCAAAAGTCATCCCTGGACCTTCCTTCATGTGAATGTTGTGGCGTCAAGGTATATGCATGCACACAGACACAGTAAACAAAAAATGTAAAAAAGAAGCAAGAAGGGAAACCTATGCAGAATAAGAAATCCATTTTCCTTTAAAAGTTATGCTTTTCAGAAAGATCTGAGACATGCTACCCGCTCAGGGCCCTTAAATTCTCTGTCCCAAGCTTCTCATTACCTCGGACTGTCATGGTTCCTCCCCCAGCCTAAGAACAGAGCCCCACCTACTTTTCAGCCAGTCCCATCACAGTGTTAATCTTCCAGGGAAATGCCATATACACTAACTGAACTGTGTTCATGTCTGACCCCCAATGAATAATTGTAACTTGAGTGTATTTTCAGTCATAGGCAAAAAAAAAAAAAAGATTTGCTAAAAATCTATTACCGGGTTATAGATGATATTTTGCAGGTTGTTTAAGGACAACATCATTCTTTTCCAACTTATTATTGATATTGTTGATTGGAGTCTCTCTTCTTTATATAAGGTTTTTCCCACGTGTCATTTAAAGAGTATTGAAATTGAAAACTTGCCCTGTGTAAAGCAAAATAGGAAAGCAAGCATGCATAATTTTTCTTCACATCAAATTTTAATATGCAAATTTTATTACTTTAACAATAGTTATCAAATAACAGAATGTTAGTCAAAGAACTACCCTATATTCTTTTTTTTCTTTTTTGAGACAGGGTTTTTCTGTGTAGCCCTGGCTATCCTAGAACTCTCTCTGTAAGCCAGGATGGCCTCAGACTCACTGAGATCTGCAAGTCCCAGACTCTGGCCTCCATCTTTGGAGGTCCTGCCCCTTCCCGTGGTCACGTTGGCGGTTTCCGGGTTTTCTTGGGGGCCACCTGAGAGTGCAGGATTACCATTAAAACCTGGGTATCCTTTAATTCGGCTTCTTGTGACTTGGCTTGATTGGGGTTTTTGGCGTCGGCAGAGAGCTCGCATCAGGAAATATTCCTAACAAGATCCACCTGCCTCTGCCTCCCAAGTGCTAGGATTAAAGGAGTGTGCCACCACCCCCTGACTCCTACGTTCTTAATAATGTATTTATACATGAAATAATTTTAAATTATCAGTGTAGGAAGTATTTTAAAAATACATAAGCAGAAAATTACATGGAGTTTGCTGTTAAAAATACTGAAATTGCAAGTGTGGTGGCACATGTCTGGAAACCCGGCCTCTTGGGAGGCTGAGGCAGGAAGACTCCAAATTGGATGCTAGCCTAGGCGATTTACCAAGACCCTGTGCAGCGGTCTGAATAAGACTGGCTCCCCATAGGCTCATATACTTAGCACTATTAGAAAGGATTAGAAGGAGTGGCCTAGTTGGAGAAAGTGTGCCATGGGAGTGGGCTTTGAGGTTTCAGAAGCCTAACCAGGCCGTGTCTCTCCCTTCCTGCTGCCAGTAGATCCAGAGAGAGAACTTTCAGCTACTTCTCCAGCACCAAGTCTGCCTGCGGGATGCATGACGGCAATGGACTTAACCCTTTGAAACTATTAGCAAGCTCCCAGGAAACGCTCTCCTTCGTGAGTGTTGCCGTACTCATGGTGCCTCTTCACAGCAATAGAACAAGGACCAAGACATCCTGTCTCCAAACAATTGTTTTAAGTGCTAAGGGTAGAGCTGGTTAGAAAGCTTGCCTAGAGTGCATGAGGCCCTAGGTTCTATCCCAGTATTGGGAACCAAAAGCAATTAAAATCCAAGCTGGCAGATTAGTCATTTACACTGAAACCTTGGGTTCAATCCTCAACCAAAAGAAGGTGAGGAACGGGTTTGGGGGGTGGGGTTCAGTGATAGAGTGCTTGTCTAATGTGCTCAAGGGCCTGGGTTCAGTCCCTAACACAAAAACAAAACCCTAAACTAAATGCCAAATACCACTCAAACAGTCCTATGAAACTATGAGAATATTCATTTAACTTTTCCTGTTTGTAGAACGAGTAGGAATCCCATTGTAGGACTGCCCTGTAGTTGGATTTTACTTTACTCTTTTGAGGGGGAGGGGGGTCCCACCACCCAGCTCCTAAGTAAAATACATGGAGGCTTATTATTTCTTATGAATGTCCGGCCTTCGCTTGGCTTGTTTTTTGCCAGCTTTTCCTAAATTATCCCGTCTACCTTTTGCCTCTGGGCTTTTACCTTACTCTATTTCTGTATATCTTTTCTTCCCTTCTTACTCAGTGGCTGGCTAGTTGGCTGCGTGGATGGCCCCTTCTTTTCTCGTTTCTTGATCTCTCTTCCTTCCCAATCCCACTTTTTCTCCTCCTATTTATTCTGTCTGGCAGCCCCACCTATCCTTTCTCCTGCCTTGCTATTGACCATTCAGTACTTTATTAGACCAATCAGGTGTTTTGGATAGACAGAGTAACACAGCTTCACCGAATTAAACAAATGTAAATGCAGCATAAAAGACTACAACACATCTTTGTATCATTAAAAAAAATGTTCCACAGCATAAACAAATGTAACACACCTTAAAATAATCCACAACACTCCCCTGAAGATTAAACAAGTTTAAATAGTGGAAAACAGCTCAGTATGTGTTAGCTATTATTACTAGAAAAAATGGTTCTTCAGCCAGCCAAATTAAGGAAGTCAGAGGTGGGGTGGTGAGGTCTAGCCACTCCTCAGTATACTAGATACAATGTTCTGTATCAGCTATGGTTTTAAAGATAAAAGTGTCCACTCCCCTCCTGTGCGGTTCCCAGTGATACATTTTATTACCTCTAGGACTGATGACTCAAACTAGAACCAAGCCAGAAACGAAACTCGAGTTTCCTGCAGTTTACTTCCTACAATTCTGTTCGTCTGTACAATAGGCACTCGCCAAATCTCTTAGATTTTACTGGGTAAAAGAAAATTGATCTTTCTTGGTTACACCCTAAAAGACAAACCTAGACCCCTACCCAGTATTTGTCACTATCACTTTATTCAAAACCCTTGAACCTTTCGTTCTGTTCTGTGCAGTTCAGAATGCAAAAACCAGAGGAAAAAGGAGACAAGAACTGCCTTCACCACATCCATAATTGATATCTTGCCCAGAAAGAGATCCAGATGACCTAGACTGGCATTAAATAACTAGTCCCCAAGAGTCTCCAGGCAACTCTCACCATCCCAGCCAAAAGAAGCCTTCGCCTAGATTTTAGGAGGAACCCCAAACCCAGAGATAATTGCGTTTTCTCTACATTCAACATTGGGATCGAATGACTCAGCGTCCTAAAGTGCATGTCTGTGATCACAGAGTGTGGCATGGCTGTTAATCAACAGTCCTGGGGCCTGTCTTTCTTGGGGATCCAGGTGACGCTCGGCCCTTCCTCGGCTGGGGATGGAGCCCACAGTCGGGGAGCAGCCGAGAAGAGAGACCTCACCCGCGGCGGTCAGCGCCGTCCGGACACTCCGGCCAGAGGACAAGACTCAACCCATCACCACCTCCGGGAACCCAGTGTCCGGAGCCCAGAGTCCGTGTCGGCTGGGGACGGCGCGACGGCGTGTCCGCACTCGAACCACCCTTCGGATTCCTATCTGGGAACAGTGACATCTCGAAGCCCCTGAGCCCGGCGTCGCCCGGACTCACCCCAGCACGGTGTTAGTAGACGCTGTGCTCTGGCGTGGCCCCTGCAGGACACCGTCCGGGTTCCCCGCGCGACTACAGGCAGTGGGCGGGGTTAGTCCGCGGTCGTTTCCGCAGGGGCGGGGCGTCCGAGGTCTGCGCACTTAGGCGAGGGATTCTTCCAGCCACCCCTGCAGACCACTGGCTGGCTGCGGGAGTGGGGCGTCTAAGTTAGTTCAGAGCTGGGGTGTGGCTTACTCATGCTGGAGGCCCCCAGGTTGATTTCCAACCACCTCTACATAAACTGGTCGGGGTGTGCGCCTGTCATCCTAGCCCTTGCAGGAGAGTGGAGGATCTTAAATTCAAGGTCATTCCTGGAGACCTTAATGGAGAACTTAGAGTTCTGGTTCACTCTGGGATAGACACTGTATCTCAAGGTGATAAAAATGCATTTAAAGAGTAATTGTGGGCGGGTGTGGTTGAGGCCAGGGTCCACCAGATTTAGCTCCTTTGTAGCCTTGGGTCTGAGCCGAGCGACGCTGCGAGCCAATCGGATTTAGCAACCGCTCCTTTTTACCGATAAAAAGGTGTGGAGGAAATCGATTCAGTATTGCCCTAGCAGGAAACCTCCATCCTGGGAGGAGTAGCCTGGACGTGCCAACTCTGTAACTCGCTAGTTATTCTGTGCTGGGGTTTGCTAAGTGAGACTTTTCCTTAGAGAGCAGTTTAGAGTGTGGTGCTGGGTTCTGAGTAGAGGAGATGGTCAATAAACGCTCAGCTGCACAGTGAGGGAACTGCACTGCTGACAATTTGACCTGCTTGGGGTATTTTGAGCGGTTACAAGGTTTTGATGTGCTTACAGGCTCAAAATTATGCTGACTCTTGCCCATGTTTTATGCTTGAAAGACGTGTTTGACATGGCCTTTTGTCCACCCCCCCCTTGTGTGTTTTATTTTGTTTAATCTGAATTCTTTACAAGCCTCTTAGAGGCAACCTCATGTTCTGATTCATTGTTACTTTTTTTCTCTTTCTTCCTCTTGTCCGTTTTCTAAATTGGATTCATTCCTCAGGATTCTACTTGAATAGCTGGATTGAATCCCGGATGCCTTAGTGTTGTAGTATTGTTAGGTGTGGTGGGCTCCTAATCTACTTTCTGAGTTTTGAGTTGGGAAAGGGAATTTGCTGTACACATTCCCAATACCTTGTGTAAATCCTCTAAAGAAATAGGTTCCTAACAATTGGATTGACTACTACATTACTGGTAAACGAAGAGCAATTGAGTACCCAGTTTTGCCCAACTCTTCCACTTCTTTGCAAGGCTAAAATGAGTTAAGATAAATTTATCTCAGTGCTGGATGCATTCCAAATTGTGGAAAGAGCTTGTGCAAAGTCCTGGGGCTCCGAAAACAAAAATCATCAGCGTGCTGAGGCTGGCAGGTGGAAGCAAGGTGAGATGAGGTCCCCTAAGAAAGCAGATGGGAGAAAACAGCTTTGGCCAGAACCCTAAGGAGAAAAATCCAGAAAGAGAGAAAATGAGAGCAGCTTTGGAGACCTGCTGGGCATGGCTACAGGTACCAAAAGAGAGAGCACCCAGGAGTGCCAAATTCTCTGAGGGCTCAAATAACAAACAGGATCAGTGGGCAAAGCAGCAGAGAGGTCACTAGGAACTGACTTTGAAGTAGTAAAGAAACGGTGGAAATAGTAGCCTTAAGCTTTAAAAACCAGTTTGCTGGGAAGGACTGAGAAACAGCACTATAGCAAGGGAATGGAAGAGTAAAGAATGGTTTTTCATTGGGGCTGGAGAGACAGATGCCTCAGAAGTTTAGAATGCACATGGTGCTTGCAGAAGACATGAATCCAACTGCAGTTCACGATCACTTGCAGCTCTAGGTCTAGAGGATAGCGCGCGCGCGCACACACACACACACACACACACACACACACACACACACACACACACAGAGAGGCCTCAGAAGTTTAGAATGCATATGGTGCTTGCAGAAGACCTGAATCCAACTGCAGTTCACAATCACTTGCAGCTCTAGGTCTAGAGGATAGCGCGCGCGCGCACACACACACACACACACACACACACATATGCAGAGAGAGAGAGAGAGAGAGAGAGAGAGAATCTTTTTTTTTAAGATTTTCATTTTTGAGGGGTGTGTATTTTTGAGATGCTATGGTCCTATATAGCCCAACTAGCATCGAACTCTTCAATCCCCCTGCTTCATTCTCCCAAGTACTAAGATTATGTGTGCATTCTGCTTTGTTTTTTTTTAACTTTATTTTAAGAGACAATAGAACAGTGGGGGCTTTTAGACTTTGTAGCCAGGAGCCACCATGAGAACTGTTTCCACTGTGACTTCATGTGGTTCAATGAAGAAAGGGGTTTTCACAAAACTCACTGGGATTGATCTGTCCATTTAAAAAATTCTATTCGTGCACACACACGCTGCACAGACACATGTAGGCAGACATAAAAAATAAAATCCTTTTAAAGTTACAAATGCACTCAGACAGTGGTGACGCACATGTTTAATTCTAGCACTCGTGAGGCAGAGGCAGGCAGATCTCTGAGTTTGAGGTCCCCGTGGTCTACAGAGCGAGTTCCAGGACATCCAGGGCTACACAGAGAAACCCTATCTCGAAAAATAAACAAAAAAAACAAACAAAACCCCAAAAGGTTAAAAATGTCGTTACTAATCCACTAAACTCTTGACAAGACCCCACTCGTGACTAGTGAGTTGTAGCCAGAAGTCCAGAAACACTTAATGAAGATTAAAGTCTGCTTATACCAGTGTGAGAGCCAGTTTGTGCTTTCCCACTCGTGTTGACACCTGGACAAGGACAAGACTCAGCTAAGAAAATAAGCAAGGACTCCCTCTTGGAACTTTTCTCTCTAGAAAGTCAGATGTGAAACATTGGCCATCATGTGACTGACGACCACATGCCAGGAGAGTCCAGAGGTTAACCTTGGGTGCTATTCCTCCGGAGTCATCCACCTTGCTTTTTGAGACAGGGTGTCTCAGTGGGTCCTGGAGCTTTTGGAATTGGCTAGACTAGCCGACCTGCCAGCCCCAGAGATCCTCGTGTCTCTGCCAGTGCTGGGATTACAGGCGCACACCACCACACCTGGCTTTTCTAAGACCAAACACAGGCTCTCAGGTGTGACAAGCACTTTACTGACGCCCGTCTCCCTGGCCCAGAATCCTTTTGCTTTGACCTAGTGTCTCCCACCCTTGGGCAGCACCACCCAGGAGCGCTGAACCTCTTCTCCCTCCAGCCAGGTCTCTAGCTCAGATTTACAAGGCTTACCTCTTCTGTTCTACAGGTTTCATGTCCTACGCCTTAGTGCTGCAGCTGAGAGAAGCAAGCTTCTAGAACTGGTTATCTCATAAAATAATAGAATCTTAGTGATGCAAGAGATCTTATGAAAAGCGTGAATCGAAGCACCACGTCTTGAAGGATGACACACGGTCCTACTTCTTAAAATATTTCCCCCTGAATATCTTCAAGACTGTAACATGCCAGCACTAGAGACTATTGAAGTATTTGATATGGGAAATATATCTGAAATTGTATAAATCTAAGGACTGAACAATAAGATACTATAAAAGAATATACAGATTTCTATTCTCTATACAGTAGTATTTGTACATGTCCATAAAGGGAGAGTCGAGATATGTGCCCACTAGAGGTAGAATAGTACAAACAATGGACTGTTTCGGAGCTTAAAGCCTCTCAGAGTCCGGCTGTTGTTACACATACATTCATTTGTTCCTGTCAAGTCACCGAGATTCATTAAAAGGATTCCCTCAGCAGCCCAGCCTCAGACCTTCTGGTTCAGCCAGTCTACTTCCAGCTTGTGTTTATACAGCTCGCTATAGTGATAAGTGAGGCACTAATAATAAAGTCAGTGGTAGACTGAAGCAGATCAGAACTCAAGGTGATTCTTCAAACATAACAGTAAATTTTTATTTTATACTTATCTTTGGTTTTTTTTTGTGTGTGTACGTGCGTGTGCACACGTGCGTGAGTGTATACCTGCTGTGGTGTAGAGAGGTCAGAAGAAAGCTTTGTGGAGTCATTTCTCTGCTCCCACCTTCACTTGATTCCAGTGATCAAACTCAGAATGTCCGGCTTACTTAGCAAGGACTTGCACCTGGTGAGCCATCTCAGCCCTATTTAGTATTATTTCTCTCCTTCCTTCCTTCCTTCCTTCCTTCCTTTCTTCCTTCTTCCCTCCCTTCTCTCTCTCTCCACTCATACACATGTGTATGCACATGTGCTTATTCAGAGGCCAGAAGGAATCATTAGGTGTTGGCTCTTTTGTTGTTGTTCCATTGCTAACGACATAAGAGTCAGCTGACGATTTGCCTCCATTACATTGACCCGTTGACTTGCCTGTGGGGCATTCTCTTGACTAATGATTGATGTGGGAGGGTCTAGCCCACTGCAGGTAATGGTTTTCCTAGGCTGGTGGTCTTGGGTTGTGTAAGAAAGCAGGCTGAGAAGCCCTGGGTAGCAAGTCAGTAAGCAGCGCTCCTCTGTGCCTTCTGCTTCAGCCCCTGCCTTGGGTCCCTGATAGATTCTAAACCACAAGTCAGATCAACCCTGTCTTCCCCCAGGTTGGCCTGAGTCCATGCTTTTTATCACCACAACAATGTCTTTCTAAGCTGCCTTCTGCCTGTTCCTTTGAGGCTGGGTCTTCCCTGAAACCCAGGGCTTGTGTTTTCTCAGCTGGGCTGGAATTCAGCAAACCTCAGTGATTCCCCAGTCTCTGCCTGACTCGTGAGTGCAGCAAGTGTTTCCAACCACGGAGCCATCTCTCCAGCCTCGAGTCTTCCTTATCTTTTATTGAAAACCCAAGTCAACTTTATTAACACACCTGCCTTTCTAGCCACTCAGGGCAGAGATGTGAACAGACATCATCACACGGCTTAGACTCAGAAGCCACAT